GATAGATAGAACGATAGATAGATAGATAGATAGATAGATAGATAGATAGATAGATAGATAGATAGATAGTAGCAAAACAGCGAGTGCATTAAACACACTTGAATATAGCATCAGGTCTTGCTCAGTCTTTCAGTGCTTCTGTTCCAGTATTTCCTAAGAGGAGAAATAAGTCACAGCAGGTGTGAGCGATTATTAAAGTCTCTCATCACTGTGAACACAAACGGCCCTTGAGGTGGATTTCCATTTCAAATATCTCACAGGCCGCTTAGTCTCACCTTTTGTTGAGCCAGTCAGTGCCACAGGGGCACGAGAGCATATTAAATGCAGAACTGTGCTACTGCGGCCTGACAGAAGCTGTCACTCCTCTCACCACAGACTGCCTTTCTGCCGCAGGCCGCTAATCGGCAGGGCAAGAGGTCCCATTTCAATTACAAAGGCACATGAACTTGCTTTCACTGTGGAAGTCTCCAAAGGTCTGCAGACCGTCACTGATAGATGCAAGCTTGTGCCCGGCAAATTAGCATGTGACATTAGAACGATATAATTCATGCATGATTAATTAATAGGAAAGGCTTGAGAAAGCATGGGGTTTAAACAAATTTCAACATATAAAAATGTCTCAGTTCCAAAACCTTTTGATTTGACTATGTAGGCATTATTATAAGCACGCATGATTATACTGCTATAGCCCTATGAAATCCATTTAATTTTTTTCTAATTCTGTTTTTTCCATTTCAGTCTTTCTGGACTACATTTTAATAGTTAAATTAAATTTTAGACCAAAAAGCATTTCTAATTAATTGAGAAACTTAATTAAACTTGTACAATTTTACATAATTTTATTAAAAGTTGACATTTTTAGGGCCCTATTTAATAAATTTTTTTTTTCTTCTCAAATTCCATTTTATTTTACCAAATAGTGCGATGTCCTTTTTATTTTTTTCTGCATTGTAATGGTTTAATTAAATTTTAGCCTTCATTCATAAATTCATAAAAACTTTAATTACTAAATTATTTATTTGTGTATGTATGTATTTATTTATTATTTTTTAATAATAATAAGGCCCTATGAAATGTTTTCAGAAATTCTGTTATGTAATTTTCTGGTAATCAAATGAAGGCATAAAACATTAACAATTTAATTAATCTCTTAATCAAATGAAAATTAAACTCTTTCATTTTTTTGACTAAGTGCTACTCAACAGGGGTTTACTGTTACAACTGGCAGAAGAATAAATGAAAAGAAAAAGAGTCATTATTTCTTAAAAATAGTTTTAAATATTATTATTAATAGAGTAACAGAGCTGTTGTTTCAGACAGGAACAAGAAACAGAATGCATCACATAAGCTGAACTAGCTCCTATCCTGATATATTCTGGAAGTTGTACCTGCAGAAGAAGTCTCTCATCCCCAATGATGGAGGCCGTGCGCCAGTCGATGATCTCTGAGAAGGGAAGCTCCCAGCCATTACTGAGCATGACGGGAACACAAGCGGCCTGCACACACACACACACACACACACACACACACACACACAATTACTGAGCATGACGGGAACACAAGCGGCCTGCACACACACACACACACACACACACACACACACACACACAGAGACAGAGGCACATTAGAACAGGCTGAAGAAAAATAAAACAAGCGTCATGAAAATTGTATTAGCGTCTTCGAGTGGAAAGTCTGAAAGCAGGAGCTCTGACTTCAGACTGAGAAATGAGGAATCATGGTTTATCAGATCAGTCATGTTTCTGTTCCATCTTGAGCTCTGGGAAATCTGGCAGCGACTGAGGGAAACACAAAGCGTGGCTCTGCCTGTCTGAACTCAGTCATAACAATGGAAAAGAGGATGTGAGATAATCATCAAGAATGGAGAAGGAGACCAATGCAAAAACCTACAGGGGGAAAAAAACTTAATAGGGTGCATCTGGTATATATATATATATATATATATGCACACAAATTTGGCAATATACAGCAATGTGCAATATGGACATATATTTCAAATGAAATCAAGCACATCCAAGCAGCTCTTCTGTGTATGTACACTGTCAAACATGTTCACTATTCAGCTACAAATTAGCTGTTGTCTCTTGTTTCCGAAGCAGCGCTGTAGCAGGAGGTACCAACAGACAGATGGTGCATTGTTTATAATATCTAATGACTACCTGGTCTCCAATTTGCATATCAGATGGCAACATCGTTTTATAAAGTATATGCGTTCATATGTGCTTCATTTTCACTGGAGGAAACAGCTGTGGTGTGATGAGGGGTGAATGCAGGGAAAACTTACAGTAGAAAGGCTACAGTAGATATTTTGTAAATTGTCTTTATGACAAAGAACTGCACAGATGCAGATATTATAACAATCTATCAATAAACACACACCTTGTCCTCGGTTTCTCGCTCTGCGGATTGAAAAAGAACGCGCTGAAAGACGGGGAGGAGCCGATCGAAGTCTGCTGTCGTTTTCATATGAAATTTAAAGGGGACTGAGACGATCACAAATTTGTGTAGTTTATGGAATTAATCTATGGAACAAATCTACTAAGCTATAGCCCCCCTAAAAATGGCCTAGCGATGCCCATGTCAGCTGCCATTATTGGTCATTAGTGCAGAGCTGCTTTCATTATTCAGGATGGAGTTACAGTGAAAACAATCCCAAAAACTCCAAATAACTTTATCACCTTAGTACAGTGACTTTTTTTTAATTTTTTATAATTTGTTTGTTCATAAAGCATTATAGTAGCTTGATACCAAGTAGTGTTGTTATTGTTTAATAAAACTAAAACTTTTTTTTTAAATTGGTAATTGAAATAAAGCTAAAATAAAATATATATTTTTTTTATACAAAATTAAATATAATACTAGACGAAAAACTTAAACTAAACAAAAATGATTAGACGTGTTGCCTTGGCAATTAATTAATTAAAATTACTAACTGATATAAAATAACTGAATTAAAATAAAACAAAAAAGTGAAATAAAAATAAAACAAATCCAAAATATAAAAAAATAAATAGTAAAAATGAAAGCTATTAAAAACTATAAAATAAAAAGACTAAAATAACACTACTACGAAGATGACTTTTTTTTTTTTTTTTTTGCAAGTGTGGACATAGTAATATAAATTTTTTTTTTTAAGTATTACAGTATTTCCATTCTTTTTGAACATGCATCATGGTAATAAAATGAAATAATAATAATAAAAAACATATGAAACAAAAAAAACCAATAAAATTACTAAACATAAATTTAAAATGAAAACTAAAAATATGACTATTATATAATATGAATGATATACTAAAATAACACTGTTACCAGGTCCAAACATTTGTAATACATTTTTTAGTTATAACATGCTTTTGTCGCAAGTGTGGGCATGCTACCATATACCAAGGTTTTTTGAACATGGTACAACAGTATTTCAATGTTTTTTTGGACATGTACTATAGTATACAAAAGTGGTAATAATTCAGTATCATGGTTTGTATTAAAAGCATTATCAGTCACCACTGCATCACAGTACCTCAACAGAACTTTATTGTAGATAAAATTCAATATTTTCCAAGCATAACTGTGTGTGTGTGTGTGTTTGCACAGGCTTGTTGTCCAGTCCCTAATCTGTTAAGCTGCTCCCACCCTCTGACCTCCCCTCATCTCTAATATCATCCCGCTGTTATGGACTAATCCTTGCAGTGTCATTAACCAGCGCTTCAATCTGCTGAAATACATACAGACCAATACAGCCCCTGAGAGCTGAAGACAGACACAAGCGCACATATGCAGCATAAAAGCCCGGAAACCTCAGCAAGTCAATTCTCAACACCGACACAATTCAAAACACAATATATAATGGCCTGTTAAGCCTCATGTCTGCACAACATCAGACAACCTGAAAGAGCACAGCCGCACTCCCACACAATAGACGCCCATCTGACATTACATCGGCATCACAGTACCACAGAATAGTGCTGGTTATGGATAAAGGTGGATTATTTATTTAGGAATGAAATACCACAAATGAGATCTCAATTTGCTTCTTATATGAAACAGTTACTGTAATTTGTATTACTACAACATTGTGTATGTATATATATATATATATATATATATATATATATATATACATATATATATATATTATTATTATGGCTAAAGTAATTTTTTATTTTATTTCATATGATTACATTTTTTATTATTTTAGTTTTTATTTAATTTTCTACTTTGGTGATCAGAAGGGATTTCGTTCAAAAATATGAAAAAAAATCGAATAAAATAAATCTATCAAGTGATATAAATGGCATGAATCATATTTGTGATAATAAAATAAAAGAACATATTTAAGATTTCAATGTTTTTAATACCTTTAATTTGGCCATTAGGGTTCTCGTAAATGTGCATCACCTAGAACTGGATCCTTCTCTGTACGTCCTCCAAACACAAATAGAAAGGTCTTATCTGGAACGATACATTAATAAGTTGTTGGGATTTTGCTCCTTACAATGAGAAAAATGCAAAAAAAAAATGCAACATTTAAAAAAAAAAAATAATAATATTAGGGCTGCACCTGCAGGCTTTCACATTGAGCAGCATTAACTACACAGAGCCGTTGTTCACTGACGAGCTGTGCAAAACCACGTTCATATTCGCGCGATTTTTTGCACAGCTCGTCAGTGAACAACGGCTCTGTGTAGTTAATGCTGTTCAATGTGAAAGCACGCAGGTGATGGAGATTTACCGCTGATTACAGAACCGGCTTTCTGACAAGATGCGCGTTAAATATCGCATGCGATTAATCGTGCAGCCCTAGTGGGTATGTATATGGGCTGGAAACACAGAACCTGCATGCAACTGCTAAAGTGTCTTCCGTTGGCTAGCAGTACTGCCAATGGGAATGAACTGGAAAAATGTACCTGCAGAGCCTCCAAGAAACGGAAAGAGCCCAGGCGGCGTCCTCGAGGCACGAGACAAAAAGTGGAGTTATGCAGCATTTCTTTATAGTTGTACCTGTTGAGAAAAAGGAAAACAAGGAAGCACATATTAAGAACCAAGGTCAGAAAACATCCTGGCGCAGGAAAACAGGCGGTGCACATCCTATTTGCAAGTTAATGCTCATCACATCTGGCGCAGATTGTGAATCAAGCATGCCAACAGCCTGAAAACACTCATACATTCACTGTGGAAAAAAGCAACTACATACTTTCCAGTTTACAGGACCTTTTGAGTCACAAATATTACTACAAAACTACATAAAAACCCATGTTAGTGCAAAAGATTTCCCCCAAATGTTGTCCCAACTAGTCAAACACAGTTGTCTGAACAAAGAATTTCAACTATAACTACCACAACTAGTAAAAATATCAAAATAACAAATTAGAACCCCATAGCAACACCTGGCAAATAACCAAAATATTCTAGAATTGCATGGTAACCAGCTAGAAGTCATAGCAAACCCTATTATCCAGCCAACACTCAGCAACTAGTCAAAATACCAAAGCAACCATCTAGAGTATCCTAGCAATGTCTATTAACCAGCTACAACATCCGAGCAACCAACTAGGATGCCATAGCAACACTGTCTATCTATATTAATTTAAATGTTTTAGTAATACAATAGAGTATACTGAGCAGAATACTGCATCCCTCGATGCAATGAAGCATGGCATGCACTATTATATTTGATAAAAAAAAAATATTTTTTAGCTAAAACAATGTGCATGAATGGATTGTGCATGATAAGATCAGGAAAGCACATCTTGAAAGTAAATACAGTCAATTTGGATTTTATGTTGACTATAAATGAATAGTCTGGGTTCAATGCAACTCTGTACGTAGCAGCATCTGCTGGATGTCGATTTATATGTACTGCAATATACTTCATTTTAATTGCAACCAAGGTGTTTAGACAATGGTTTGTCATACCAAATACCAGTTTGACTTAATATAAATATAACATAAAATAATATAAAATCATTTTAATATGCTGATTTGATGCTCGTGAAACATTTCATGTTATTATCAGTGTTGAAAACAGTTGTGCTGCTTCACATTTTTGTGGAAACTGTGATACATATTTTTCAGGAAATCGTAACATTATAACTGTCTAAAATGTATCTTGTTTTTACTACAAAATAAAAAAGGTAATTGTGACTTTTAAGAGTTAATATCTCACAAATTCGGACTTTGTTTCTCGCAACTGAACTGCAAGTCAGGATTTCGAGATATAAACTAAGAACTGCAAGATATAAATGCAGAACTGCAAGATATAAACTCTAAATTCTGAGTTTACTTTTCACATTTCTGTTTTTTTATTGTTTCGTTTCCAACACAGAATAAAAAAAGGTAATTGCAACTTTTTATATCACAATTCTGACATTTCTTCTCAGAATTGCAAGTTTTCCGCAATTCTGAATTTATATCCCACAATTCCGAATTTTTATCCCGCAATTCTGAGTTTATATCCCGCAATTCTGAATTTATATCCCGCAATTCTGAATTTATATCCCGCAATTCTGAATTTTTATCCCGCAATTCTGAATTTTTATCCCGCAATTCTGAATTTATATCCCCCAATTCTTAGTTTCTATCCCGCAATGCTGAATTTATTTCCCGCAATAATGAATTTATATCCCACAATTCTGAATTTTTATCCCGCAATTCTGAGTTTATATCCCGCAATTCTGAATTTATATCCCACAATTCTTAGTTTCTATCCCGCAATGCTGAATTTATATCCCGCAATGCTGAATTTATATCCCGCAATTCTGAATTTATATCCCTCAATTCTGAGTTTATATCCCGCAATTCTGAGTTTATATCCCACAATTCTGAGTTTATATCCCGCAATTATGAATTTTTATCCTGCAGTTATGAATTTATATCTCGTAATTCTTAAGTTTCTATCCCGCAATGCTGAATTTATTTCCCGCAATGCTGAATTTATATCTCACAATTCTGAATTTATATCCTGCAATTCAGGATTTATATCCCGCAATTCTGAGTTTATATAAGCCATAATTTAATTATAAGCCAAATATTATACTTTTATTTGTATTTGTATTTTATTTTTTTATATATAGTTTATTTATTTTTAACATTCCTTTTTTAACATTATTTTTACCTTATTTTTACTTAAATCCCAGTTGACTGTATTTACTTTCTAAATGTGCATTCCTTATCTTATCACACACAATACATCCATTCACCTGATTTTAGTAAAAAAAAAAGATGGTCTTATATTCTTTCATCAAACTCAATTTTGATAGCACCTTTTCGACTTCGTTCTAATATGTGTGCTCACTTTTCCAAATCCAGTCAATTTGTGTTGAATAAAATCAAGTCCCACCCAAGAATTTTTTGCTTATTAATAAATTTCATTCAGCCTTTAAGGACACCATAACCATATGGAAAATACACACAAAAAAAGTCCTTTTAAACATCTGCTTGAGAGTCATATTAAAAATATTAGTCTGCACACAATGACCCGGTAGGATAAGCCCCGTGGTGCTGCCGAATCACGAAGTCTTTCGAATGCATCATCCCGTCCTATTTTCAGACACCCCATATCAGGTTACCCACTGAGCCAACAGGTCAGCCGAGGTTATTACAGCATCCTACAACACCTGCCGTCTCTCAACCTCGAGCTTTACCGTTCAACTCAAACCCGGAGAACATCAGGGCCAAAGCCCAGTCAGATTCTGTCTCACTGTCCGCAGGCATCCTGGCTTGTTCATTCATCCGTGCTGAAGAGCAGAGGTGAAGGAAGACCTCAGGGGCTTCACATTGGAATGCACAGCAACACCGATTACTCATTGGAGAGAGGGAGGAGAAGGAACAGAGAACGTTGTGGAGAATGTGTAAGAGAGGAGAAGGGAGGGTGAGACGGGCGAAACAGCAGGAATGTTGCATTAGGAATTCCAAACAGCCCCTTAATCCAAGTGCCGACTGAAACACTGCTTAAAGCATTTGCTGAAGCTTTTATCCCACCATAGTGCAAGAGCAGCCTACAAAGCAGAGGTCGAGAGGTCAAGAGCGTGAGCGGGGATTTCTAAGAGCTCGCTTCTGACTGTCTGTGCACACTTGTGTGTGATTCATATTATGACGTTAAATGTCTGTAATGCTTTTTATACTGCAAACGAAGCAGGTTAGATTAATGTATTGGTTCTATAAATCAAACCGGCATTCAGAATTGTGGGATATAAATTCAGAATTGCGGGATATAAATTCAGAATTGTGAGATATAAATTCAGACTTGCGGGATAAAAATTCAGAATTGCGGGATATAAACTCAGAATTGCGGGATATAAATTCAGAATTGTGAGATATAAATTAATTATTGCGGAATATAAACTCAGAATTGCGGGATATAAATTCAGAATTGTGAGATATAAATTCAGACTTGCGGGATAAAAATTCAGAATTGCGGGATATAAACTCAGAATTGCGGGATATAAATTCAGAATTGTGAGATATAAATTCAGACTTGCGGGATAAAAATTCAGAATTGCGGGATATAAATTCATTATTGTGGGATATAAATTCAGAACTGCAGGATAAAAATTCAGAATTGTGGGATATAAACTCAGAATTGAGGGATATAAATTCATAATTGCGGGATATAAATTCATAATTGTGAGATATACATTTATTATTGCGGGAAATAAATTCAGCATTGCGGGATAGAAACTAAGAATTGTGGGATATAAATTCAGAATTGCGGGATATAAATTCAGAATTGTGAGATATAAATTCAAAATTGCGGGATAAAAATTCATAATTGCGGGATAAAAATTCATAATTGCGGGATATAAGCTCAGAAATTGCGGGATAAAAATTCATAATTGTGAGATATAAATTTATTATTGCGGGAAATAAATTCAGCATTGCGGGATAGAAACTAAGAATTGTGGGATATAAATTCATAATTGCGGGATATAAGTTCATAATTGCTGGATATAAATTCATTATTGCGGGATATAAATTCATTATTGCGGGAAATAAATTCAGCATTGCGGGATAGAAACTAAGAATTGTGGGATATAAATTCAGAACTGCAAAATAAAAATTCATAATTGCGGGATATAAACTCAGAATTGAGGGATATAAATTCAGAATTGCGGGATATAAATTCAGAATTGTGAGATATGAATTCATTATTGCGGGAAATAAATTCAGGATTGCGGGATAGAAACTAAGAATTGTGGGATATAAATTCAGAATTTCGGGATAAAAATTCAGAATTGCGGGATATAAACTCAGAATTTATTATAAAATATTCTCTTGATTCTAATATAAAATAAAATACAATAAATAAAAAAATGTTGGCTATTAAATAAAATAAAATAAAATAAAATGAAATAAAAATAAAACAAAAAATACAATTGGTTCTAAAATAAAATGTTATGACTTCTAAAACAAAACTATCGATCGCCATCTATCACCAGTGGTGTTACAGTTAACACAAACGATTAAAATGGTTTTCATTAACTGAAACAAAGCTGAAATAAAACAAATATAAATATCAGATGAAAAACAAAAACTGAAATAAAATAAAATAAGCTTACGTTGAAGTACTAAAATTACTGAAATAAAAGTAAATTAAAGCTCAATAGAAATGACAAAAAACTAAGAAAAATCACAAAAGAACAAAATTATTAAAATAACTTTTTGCAACCTTTACTTTGCATAGTGAAAACAATCAGTGACTGTTTCAAACGGTTGGCTGCTGTAAAGAAAGCGTGACGTTGGAGTTAAAGGTGTCTTTAATCTGCTGTCGTGGGTTGGCGGACACCACTCACCTGAATCTACTCTATCAAGTTGACAAGCATGCAAGATGCATAAGAAAAAACAGGGAACTAGAACGTAGGCAGCCAAACTGTCTAAGTTTTCTTTTTTATGTTTATATTTGGCATTGTTGCCATAGCAGCAGGTTGGCATGGGTGGCATTTGTGCCTTAAATCAGATTAGTGGAAATGAGAGCTTGCATGGCAACTACTGGTTTCACCAAT